ATCTTGTTTAACGGTTTTTGAAGTTTCTGTCTACCATTCTCTGCTCATTCTGCCTGTGACATGGCTGTACTGGTACAGGGACTCATGGCAGACAGGAAGGAGAGAGGACAGGATGCCCTCAGTAACTCACTTCCTCCAGTTAGGTCCCATCTCCTAAAATTTCCATCATCACCCAAGAGAGTGCCATCCATCATGTGGGGCCAACTGTTCAATACTGAATGTGTGAGGGATACTCCACAGTCAAACCACAACACACACACACACACACACACACACACACACACACACACAGAGACATATATAGTGAGGTAGATAAATGTGTGGGTGGATATATGGAAAAACTCAACACTGTAATTTGTTATATTAAGAGTCTGACTTGTAGAGTAAGCAGTTAAAACAACAAATTATTTTAGGGAATCAAGTATTAATAAACATAACTACAACTAGTGTTTCTACAGCAAAATTCATCATTTTAAAATGTGACAGTGATTTTTAATAATCACATTGGTGAAGGCTTTGTCACTATGTCACTATTTATAGCATGCTTTTATCACACCACAAGAAAATCCCGTTCCTACTAGCAACCGTTCCCATCCCCTCCTCCCAGCCTCTGGCAACCACCCACTGATCCATTTTTCATGTCCATAGATTAGCCTGTTCTGGGCATTCCACACAAACAGAGTCCTACAATGTGTGGGTTTTTGTGGGTGGATCCATTCACCTGTGATCCCACAGCATTTTTGAACATTTTGAACTGGGCACTTACTTTGTTTGGTTTTTGCTAGGGACGGACTCCAGTGTCTCCTACACACTAAGCAAACACTCTACCAGTGAGCTACAATACTTATTTTGGTGGGTTATAGTAACTTGTTCTTCTTACAGCCTTCCGTTGGATTATTGGGCATTTTAAGCTCAAATACCTGGCCTTGTTTATTTAGATATTTCCAATTGAGATTCTGTTTGTCACATGGTGGCCACTCAAAAAATATTTTCAGGACAAATTATGTTTTTCTATTTCTAGGTTGTCTAGATGACTGTGTGCGCACTCATGTGCATGATAAAAATGAAAACCTTTTCCTAGATCTAGATTACTGGGAAAAAAGAAGATTCTTACTGCATAAATGTTCATTTTCCTCCCTTGAAAAGTGGAGCTGAGCAGAAGTACAAATGCTTTATATCTCCTGTATAGCTGTATTTCAAAGTTATTAACCAGAATTCATAGTTTAGAAGTTATTGAGGACTTTTTGTGAATAGGTATATAAACATAAACATATAATCAGCATACATTTGGGGGAGTCTAAGTACACCCTATTTTCCCAAGGATACAAAAATTCATTGGACTAAAAACCATTTATTCTTTCCCCCAAAGTTTTTATTTGCATATGTTAACTATACATAGTGGTGTGTTTCATTATGACATCTTTACATTTTGATCCTATTCACCTCCATCACCTACCTGTTCTTGGTTTTGACTCAGTGGATTTCTTTAAGGTTGTTTATAGGACAATGGGCACCTTACCCGTGACTACACCACTGGAAAAGGGTGTCTCTCCTTCCCCCAGCAACCATGAACTACCTAAGGTTCCTCTGGGAGGGTCAGGGCCTTTTGGGCCCCTCCCCTCTAATGACAGGCTGTTAAAGGGCGTTCTTCTGCAGGTCTTGTGTTTTTCTGTAAGGCATGGGCATTTATGTCACTACAGTTTAGCTACTGGTGGCCATTATGAATAAGTTCTTGGAGGTCTTTCTTTTTTACTGTAGCTACTCATTGAAACAAACATTCCTTCCAATGCTATCCGGGAATATTCCAGGAGTTACGGTGTATTGTGCTTTTATTTTTTTTATATCAAGATATTTCCTAGTTTCCATTATGATTTCTTCCTTAGCTCAAAGATTGTTCAAGGGGGCTGAAGAGATGGCTCAGTGGTTAAAAGTACTTGCTGCTTGCTCTTTTAGAGGTCTTGAGTTCCATTCCCAGCAGCCACATAGTGGCTCACAACAATCTGCAATGAGTTCTAGTTGCCTTTTCTGGCCTGCAGGCATACATGTAGACATAACACTATATACAAAAAGCTCTCCCCCAAAAAAACATCAAGCCGGACATTGATGGCACACACCTTTAATTCTAGCACTCGGGAGGCAGAAGCAGGCAGATCTCTATTAGTTTGAGGTCAGCCTTCCAGGACAGCCTCCAAAACCACAGAGAAACCCTGTCTCAAAAAAAAAAAAAAAAAAAAAAAACCCATAACACTATATACAAAATAAATCTTTTTTTAAAAAAAGTTGTTCAAGTGTGTGTTGTTATGTTAGATTTCCTTGTATTTATCAGTTTTCTTTTGTCATTGTGGCCAAACCTAAAAGATATTTGGAATGGTTTCAATCTCTTTAAATTCAAGATTTATTCTCTTACCTAGTATGTAATCTATTTTGTAGACTATTCTGTGCAAGCAGAAGAATATGTACTCTGCTGTGGTTGAGTAGCATGCTGTGTATGTACCTGTTGGGTACATATGATCTAGTGTTGTTCCAGCCTGCTGTTTGCTCACTAACTTCATATGTGGGTGATCTGTCCACTTTTGACAGTGGAATCCTAAAATCTTCTGACACTATTGAATTGCTATTTGTTTCTCTCTTCTGATTGTCACTATTTGATTTATATGTCTGGCTACTCTGATATTGAGTGCACATATGATATGTGTACACATATATTCCTAATAAATAACTTTTAAAAGTGTGCATTGCTTCTTCATTGAAATGGTTTTTTTCTTTTACTAATTTTTCACTTATTTTAGATAAACTCAAAAGTCTTGTCACAGTGAATGACTGCACCTGTCCTTATAACTTGCATGACTCTTTTTGAAGGACAGAATTCCAGAATAGAGCCAGCAAGATAGCTCAGTTGCTTGCCTCGAAGACTGGCAACCTGACTTTGATCCTTGGAACCCACATGAGGAAAGAAGAGAAAATCTCCTAGAAGCATAGTTACCTGGGCCAGCAGGGTTGTACCCGACACATTAAGTTCCAAATCAATTTTACTACAGCCTCTTGAGTATAGGGACACATGATTTCACTTATTTTTGCATCTCCCGTTGACTAAAATTATGTTGGAAACAGTCTAACTGCTAAGAAGAAATAGTATTTTATTTAATGATGGAATGAATGAGTAAACTGATCAATGGTAACAAAGTTCTGATGCCTAGAAAGTCGTCACACAATTTAAAATTTGTAGTCAATTGCTTTTCTCACCCAAAGCTGTGGATAGACCTAGCACTTCCAAGTGTCTTAGACATGGACACGAAGATGTTCCCTCATCCCAAAGGCAGCTGCTCCTACTGCTTAGACAAAGGTCTACACGTCCCATGCAATTGTTGGTTCACTCAGAGCTCTCTTCTCTTTATGAGGTTGTTGCCAGCAGCCTCCGCTCATTATGATTCTCACTGTGTTGTGTTCCCTATTCAGCTGGTAAAACGGAGAGCATAGAGAATACTGTGCGTGGCATGTGGAGATCTGCAGACATCTTAGCACGAGGAATGTATTTTCTTATTTGTGCTGTCTTATAACTCACAGCATAAGCTCATTTCAGTGTCCCCCCCTGCCACCTAACCTGTCTTCATTAGCACTACAAGATGGATTTTCTCACTCTTTATCAAACAGTGACTCCCTTTTCACACAAGCTAAGCCTCCTCAGACGGTTTGAGGATTTAATGATGTCAGTTCAGCATCTCATGAACTGTATCTTCCAACACTAGCTTCCTACTTACTCAATTCAGAAAAGGCTCCCTGTGTCATGTGCTTTTGTCTCAGATAAATGTTGCGTTCCCTTGTTTAGGCAGAGTCTCACTATGTAGCCCAGGCTGACCCCAAAGTAGTAGTCTTCTTGCCTCTGGTTCCTGAGTGCTAGGTTTACAGGTGTGTGCCACCGTGCTTATCAGTTGTGATCGTGTGGTGGTGCTGGAGATTGAATAGGCTACCTCATGCCTGCTAGGCAAGCCGAGTCCTTCTAACAGAAAACTTCAAGCTTTCACTTGAGGTCCACGAGTGTTGTCCTTGTCTTTAAATTGTTACTGCCTTTTAGGCCATGGCTGACCGAATCATAACTCCAGCACTATCAGCAACTTTCGGCAGAGGCCTGAAGAGCCATAGCCTGAGGGAATGCTGACTCTTTCAAAGCTATGAAGGGAATTTACGTAAATCTCTGTCACTCTACAGATTCAAAGGTTGAGATGGAATTCTGCTCCTCAGAGAGGCTGAGTAGCAAGTAGCTCACCTCCTCTCCCAGCAACTCTCCCCAAGCTCGGTGTTTCTCTTCACTCCTCCTTAAAAACCCTTCTCCACCTGGCCCCTCCCTACCTCTTCTGTCCAGCTAGCTGCTGACTCAAACTGACTCAACCTCATGACCACAGGTGAATTTCATTTAATCAGGGTTTCTCAGTGTAGCTTTGGAACTCACTCTGTTAGACCAGGCTGACCTGGAACTCACTCATGTAGTTCCGGAGAGCCTCTGCCTCCTGAGTGCTGGTATTAAAGGTGTGCACCACCACCAGCAGGCTTAAAGATAATTTGTTTAGTTATTATGTATACATTGTTCTGCCTGCAGGCCAGAAGAGGGCACCAGATCTCATTACAGATGGTTGTAAGCCACCATATGATTGCTAGGGAAGGGCAGTCAGTGCTCTTAACCTCTGAGCCATCTCTCCTGCCCCAGGCATCATTAAGCAAATGTCTGACCCCACTCTGTGCAACTCTGTCATCATCGATGGCTGCAGCGTTTCATATCTTTCACCTATTTCGTCATTGTACCTAGATTTACATTTTCTCTACTAATACCGTTTACTTTCTGGAAGGTAGAGACACAGCCCGGCTTCCTCTGCACTCGTGAAGCCCCCCCCCCCCCCCGAAGCACTTGTTTGAGTAGATTTACACAGTGTTTCTCTGGAATCTTTAAGATGAGGTCAAGTCGGAATTCTGCGGACTGTAATGTTATCTCCTTCCCTCTCTTGTAGCCATACTTCCCATAGCTTCCAGCTGCTGCACTGAAGTTTCCCATCATATTTCCAGAAGGCTTCTGGAAAGAGTGAATTCATGCAGCATCCAGAGAGCTGATGGGGACTGTGACTTGGCAGCTGTCATGTGAGTGTTCTTCAGCAAGACGTGTCAACCTGAATGTTGGCTATCCATTCCCTCGGCTAACAAACGCCGGCTTGAAATGCTTTACCTGACATACAACCTATACATCATTCAAACGAGGGGAGGAAGAGGACCCTCTCTTGTCTTTGAGTGCCAGGCTACCTGGAGTAAACACACAATCTCTGTACAGGAATACCCTGAGTCCTCCGCTCAACATTTAGCAATCAGTGACGACAATGTCATATGTCATAACTTTAAACTGTAATTTTCTCCAGGCAGGAGATGGTTGCTGACACTTTTACTCTCTGGATTCAGTAGGGATTTATGGTCTGAAAAGTGGTGTGGCAATGTCTGCTCTTGTCACAGTACTGCGTGCAAATCCACTTGCAAATGCTCCTGTGTGCTTTTGATTCTGAGTACCTGGCCCTCCTACCCGTTCCACTACACCTCATGATCAGTACTGTAGGACAACAACAACAGCCTGAGAGGAAGGCATAGTTTATTTCCCTGCCGCACAGAAGAAGCCAGTGGACAAAGTTACATAGTTCACCTGCACTGTATTGCTAGCAAATAGCAGAAACGGGATTATCACATGGCTCCCTTGTTTATAACATTATTTATCTTCCAAGGTCATTCAAAAGGAAGAGTAGGGCTCACCACAACGTGTTCTTCCAAGATCAGGTATGGAGGTATATGCCTGTAATCCTAGCATTCAGGAGAGTGAGGCAGATCACCAGTTCAAGGTCAGCCTAGGTCACATAGTGATAGCCTATTTCAACAAAGAAAAAAATTTTTCCTCTTAAACTCTAGTGTATCACATGTGAGTTATCTCCCTGGCATGCTGGCTTTAACACTGCTCATGCATCTGGGTGATGCTAGTGAGCCATTTGGCAATCTTTCCTTTGGACTATAAAATAACAGCACTGCCTAAGGCCAAGCTTCTGAGACACCCAGGAACCTTTGTTCTGTTAACAAATTTGACAGGTATCTGTTAGTCAGTAACTATGTACCATGCACTGAGGATACAGCAGAGATCCAGTGGTCTCTGTCCTTCTGGAGTCTCTGAAAAACATTTTATCCAGTTAGGCTCTATGTGCCATCCTATGATTTTCTATAATCTGGTAGTCTGAATCACTTTTAAGATCACACACACACACACACACACACACACACACACACGGGAAATGCACTGCATAGCTTGTATCATATGCCCAGTTACTGCTATTTTATTATCAGGAGGATGAGAAAATTATGTTGAGGATTTCTCAGCATCTTTTCAGAGACACCCACTTGCTGTGGAAGTTGAGAAACCCTGAGAGGAAGGCATAGTTTATTTCCCTGCCGCACAGAAGAAGCCAGTGGACAAAGTTACATAGTTCACCAGCACTGTATTGCTAGCAAATAGCAGAAACGGGATTATCACATGGCTCCCTTGTTTATAACATTACGTATAATGTTATAAATGGCAGAGAAAGGGTTAGACACTTTTCAGACTGGGGGCTGTGGATTACTTGACAACTGACATGTAAACCTGTTAGCATGTTCTTGGGGAGGGTTTATGGATTCTCAAAAGAGTCAGAGACGAATTGAGTTTTAATACCACACTTGGGGTCTGAGGAGCCAGTGATTATTTGTTCAAGATTAAATGACCTTGGGTGACTACAGAGGGAAAAAGTGGGTGGAGAACTCTCTCGGCTGCCTCAGTTTTCATTGCCCTGGTTCTGTCAGCTTGGATGGTTTAGTCATTGAGAACCAGTGTAATCTGCAGCAGTCCAGGAAGCATGCTATAAGGAACCTCTTTCTAAGAAACGCCTCAAGTCCCTAACATTTGGGAAACCTCTGAGCTATTGTTTGAATACAATATGTCTCTACAGGCTTATTGCTGAATAACTGCTCTGCAGCTAGTAAAATTGTTACAGGGGATTTGAGAAACTCTAGAAGGTGGGGCCTGCTGGGGATTCCGCCTTGTGGGAGGAGGTGGATCATTAGGGGTATGACTTTGTCCCCAGTCCCTTCCTTCCTATCATTGGTAGATGTCCTGCTTCCTGTCCATCACAATATGAAGAGCATATATTCCCACTGTCATGGTGTCCTTTCCAAATGTTCAGAACCAGTCATGGGCTGAATCCTCTGAATCTATGACCCTCCCCTAAATCTGTTCTTTAAATAATCCTCTAAGACTAATAAAGTATATTCGGTTGAAATTCTACCAGTATTTTATTTAATGTTAATAAATAATCATTGGTAATAGTTGGAGAGTCAAAAGTTCATAGATGGTTGATAGCAACTTGATGTTTGCATTGCACATATACTACTGAACTGAACTGACCAAGCCTGTTCTGGCAGCTCTGAGAAACACCAAGCTTCCAACTGTTCTTCTCAAGTCTTTCCATATCACCAACACAGGCATATCTGTCATTCCAGCCTAAAGGAGGCATGAGAGCATTTACAAGGTAGACTTAGAAAAATAGAAAAAGTTCCTGTGGGTATTTGAGAGATAGCTTCCTGGGACTACAAGAGAACACCATCAGCAGTAGGACTTCAGTTTAGGTGGAAATTAATGTATGTCAGACCTTAAAGGCACAGGAACAAGAACAATGTAAAGCCTCTATGTTTGCTGCTGGTGTCCTTCTCTGGCCAAAACTCCAGACAGAAACAATGAGACGGAGGAAAGATTTAGTTGGCTCATGGTTTTGAAGTGTTCATGGCCCTGGTGGTAGAAAAGACTTAGTGGAGCTCACGGCAGGAGGTTGCATGTGGCAGAGGCTCATCACATCATGGTAGGCCAGAAAACATTGAGAGGCCAGAACCAGGAGCCGGGCTACGACTCTCAAAGCCCAGTTCCTAGTGAGTGGGTTCCACCAGCAAGGTCCTACCTCCCAAAGCTCCCACGCTTTCCCCAAACAGGACAGCGGTCAGGAAGCAGGCATTTGAAACATTAGCCTATGAGGAACATTCTAGATTTGAACCATAGCATCCTCACTTTGAGGAAGAAAAATGTGATTGAAGAATTTACGATTAGGTTTTCTTTTTTTGTTGTTGTTTTTCTGAGACAGGGTTTCTCTGTACTGCTTTGGAGCCTGTCCTGGAACTTGCTCTGTAGACCAGGCTGGCTTCGAACTCCCAGAGATCTACCTGCCTCTGTCTCCTGAGTGCTGGGACTAAAGGCATGCACCACCAACCACCAGCTACCTTTAGGTTTTCAAAGTACTGGGTTGTTTTGTTTTGCTTTTTTAATTAATTTTTTATGCGTGAGTGCTCTGTCTGCATACAGACATATCTGCCAGAGGAGGGCATCAGATTCCATAACAGATGGTTGTGAGCTCATGTGGTTGCTGGGGAATGAACTCAGGACCTCTGGAAGAGCAGCCAGTGCTCTTACCCCTGACACATCTCACCGGCCCCCAAAGTACTAGTTTTTAGTTAAAGGGAGATTATGAAGTTAATCTGTTTTTAAATGTATTTAACTTATAAAAGTACAAATTTATACATTGAACTCTGTGCTGATAAGCAAGTTGAAAAATATAGGGTACTTGTGACTTGGTTTCAAAATCAGAGTTTTGTATCTCTAAGTGGTAAGTTACAGATCCTCTCTGTTATGTCTTCCAATACTCAATCTAAGACGTCTTATCTTCAGACAGTTTACTACAGAAGCATACCTGTATTTGTCCAAAATGTAGTCAATTAACCATGACGGCTCATAAAGGCTTTAAGACTTGAGATCAGTGTTTAAGATGCAGAGAGCATCGATTATATTCCAAATGTAACTCCCAGGCATCGTATAATACAAGCTATAATTGATTAATTAATAGAAATTAAATATCAATGAACTCACTAGACTCTCCATTTTCTTTGGGAAATAAGTCCTTTGTTTCTGACCCTATAAATGTGCTTTCTTCATGCCCCAGACAGCAGCTTGCTTGTTTACGCCACTCTACTGAGACTTCACTAAGGAACTTCCAGAAATACCACGCAAAGCTGTTAACTTCGGCAGATGTTTCTTGTACTTCACAGAGATTATCTCTTGGATAGAAACATCTGCTTGTTATTGCTGTCCACCCCCAACCCCACCCCGTGAACTCATTCAGGAGGTCAGAATTCCTCAGAAGTCATTTCAAAGAGCTGCTCTAAGGAAGAAATGCACTTTAAGGACAACCCCAGGTGTAGTCTTTGTAGGAGGACCACAGCTCACACTCACTGGAACACTTTTTTTTTTTTTTTTTTTTTTTTTTTTTTTTGAGACAGGGTCTTGCTATCTGGTTCTGATTGTTCAGGAACTCTGTAGATCAGGCTAGCCTTGAACTCACAGAGATCTTCCTCCCTTTGCCTCTGAAGTGCTGGGAATAAAGGCCTGTGCCACTCTACCAATTCTGGGTGAAGAAACAGGAGGTTTCTCTCTCTCTCTCTCTTTCTCTCTCTTTGTTTTTTGGTTTTGGAGACAGGGTTTCTTTGTGTAAGAAATCCTGGAACTCGCTCTGTAGACCAGGCTGGCCTTAAACTCACTGAGATCCACTTGCCTCTGCCTCCAAGTTCTGGAGGCACTTACATCACCACACCTACTTATATTTGTGATTTCTGTGAAGATTTTTTTTTCCCTTTTCTTGGCAGCCTCCATGTTAAACGCAGAAGGATCTGCGTCAGCCCGAACAATCAGACTTTGAAGCATTGGTTGAGAGCCTCCGAGGTGAAGAAGAATGGCAAAGAAAATCCCTGCCATAAGAAGCTGCACAGCGGGAAGGACAGAAAGAATCACACCCAGAGGAATCATGGAAAACAGGGCCACCAAGCCCCTCGTTAGAACAGAAATGTGACCCTACGGAGATAACTCTGCAGGTTAACTGGCTCGTAGTTGGTCATAAGTTTGTCACCTGAGTCTTCTGTATTGACACCCAATTTTTTTTTTTTTTTTTTTTTTTGTTAATGAATAATTGCAGCTAAGGGTGTAAGTTAAGTGGTAAAACACTTGTGTGGCCTGTAGATTCAATCAGCAAAAACCAAGAACGAACAAAACATGCACACGTGACCAATAATATACTTAACTGAAAATACAAAATTCATCTTTATATATAAAATTGAAAAGGGTAATATAGATACAATTCCTCTAACATTTTGACGGACGTTCCCCAGTCCTATAGAGGAGGTGAAGGAATGCCATAAGGTTTACACACATTCCTGTAACCTACATTAGTCACTGCTAATATTTGCTCTCTTTTCTCTGTGTGTGTGTGTGTGTGTGTGTGTGCACAGTACATAAATACAAGGGTTTTCCACTAGACCATCTGAAAAGTTGCAAACACCATGACCTTTGTCTATTCCACATCCTGTTACTAAAGCAACATTGCTGATTAGGTAACTTCTAAAGAATACAAGTTTATTTGGCTCAGGTTCCTGGGGTGGGAAAGCCCAGGAACTTGGCACTAATGTCTGGTTAGCATCTGGGAGGACATTTCTAAGGAACCTTAATGTGACAGAGGACTGCATGTGACAAGATGGCCCAGTGTGATAACTCAGAACCTCTTTCTTATAAAGCCACTAACAGCTGGGTGTTGGTGGCACGGGCTTTTGTCCCAGCACTCTGGAGGCAGAGACAGGAAGATCTCTGTGAGTTCGAAGCCAGCCTGGTCTATCTTCAGAGCAAGTTCCAGGACACAGGGAAGGCTCCAAAGCAATACAGAAAAACCCTGTCTCAAAAAACAAAACAAAACAAACAAACAAAAAAGCCACTAATTTAGCCTCAGCTACACCCAAAGGCCCCTCTCCAAATGCCAACAACATGTAGGTTTAAGTATCAAGTTCCAATACATAAACCTGGAGAACATATTCAAACCATAGCAACACTTCAGCCCTAATTTCTTTCTAGAATTATCACTTGGTATCATCCATTTTCCTAAATAATTATGCTAGAAGTTTTATACCTAGAAAGTTAACAATTTCATATAGTCTATACTCAAATTTCTTTATATCCAGATCACTTTATAGATTTTATTTTCAGTCCAGGTTCACATATTGCCATTTGTTTTACGTCACTTTAGTCTTTTCAATAGAAGTCTCAGGTTTTTTTCTTTCCTGCCTTCCTTCCATTCTTCCATAGCATAGACTTTCAAAGAATAAAGGTTAGAATTTGTTTCACGTTCCACGTTTGTGTGATCGGTCTTCACGATCAACCCAAGCTTCCTCTATGAATTTGTATACTTCTCGATTCCTCTGTGGTTCTGCAACATCATTTTCTATAAGGGTAAGGCGTGTGGAGATTTGAGTAGCTACGATCATGTAAACTCTGCCTCACCGCCCAGAAACTTCTCTCTTCTGCTGTAGTTCTCAGAGCAGCAGCATTAAACACACAGAGGTCAGATTCTGTATTGCATGTAGCTCTGATTGGCTCAGAATAGACCACGCTGTTCTCAAACGCACAGAGATCCACCTGCTTCTGCTTCCCAAATGATAGTATTAAAGGCATGGACTACCACTTGGCTCTAGAAGTCAATATTTTAAAACTACCTATCCACCGTCTCCATGATTTCACCCTGGAGAAATTTGAACACATGGTAAAAGCTCATTTCCATGGCAACCATTAGTACAAGATCAGTTTGTCAGGTATCCTTGGTGTCTATAATTGTAAAAAAAAATACAAAGTTACAACATCAGAATGAGGCACACGTTTTCATAATCATAATAGGCATGTTGAAAAGTTAAAATGAAAACCAAAACATCAATATTGAGCCTTTTTACCTAGTCATTTGAATCATATAACTATTCTCATTTTATTTCTACTTGTAACCCACATCACTACACAAGACACTATGTGTGATATGTTTTAAAAACTGGTTGCTATGGCTTGGGTAGGTGTCCTCAAAGGCCTGTGGTGCTCCTGGGAGGCAGTGGGAAACTTGGAATGTGGAGTCTAATGAACAAATGTACGTTCCTGGGGTTGTGTCCTGTCTTTGTTTCACACCACCAGGAACTAAGCAGCTTCTTTGACCATGCATTTCCATCACAAATTCTTTCTGCCATAGGCCCAGGGACATGGAAGCCCAACTAACCATGGACTGAAACTTCTAAAACTTCGAGCTGAACGAGGCCTTTCTGCTGTGTTTGTTTGTTTGTTTGTTTGTTTGTCTGTTTGTCTGAGACAGGGTCTCTCTGTGTAGCCCTGGCTGTCAGGAACTCACTCGGAAGACCTCAAATTTACAGAGATCTTTGTGCTTCTGGCTCCCTAGTGCTGGGATTAAAGGTGTGGGCTGCCACTGCCTGGCTACCTTTCTGCTTTTAAAGTTGATCTGCCTCAAGTGTTTGTTACAGAAACACAAGGTTAACACAAGGATTTTATTGTAATGTAAATAGTTAAGATTTGGTATCCAAAAGACAAAATCTCTTAGAGACTACGGTGTGCTTAGTGAATATTATCACTCTTATACTATGTACAATATTGTATTGTAAGTACTGTTACTATGCCATGAGTTACTATGAATAAGTCACCTGGGTTAAACTGTAAGCCTTCTTTTTAACAAAATGTGTTCTTCTTATGCTTTATTAAAAATTTCACACTTTATTATACATTTTTCATTGTTTTTTTTTTTAAACAAAGGAGCAGCTTGATTTATTACACTCTATTCTTATTCTGAGACTTGATTCCTTGACTAATGTCTTTGAGGCTTTTTGGAAGTTTTAGTCCTCTTAAGGGGTTAGTACCATAATTTCAAATGAAATAACTTAAAGTGTCGTTTGTTTGTGGATTTTAAGCGCTGTCCATTACCTCCTATTGTCCCTACACCCTTTCCTTTCTCCCTCCTCATCCTAGTTTATGAAAATATTGCTATCACTTACAAACCTCGACTGTAAATCTACCTCCCAATCGTTAGTGCATTGACCCTTCCTTTTTTCCTACTCTCCTTCTAAATTCTGCCAGCTATACTTGCACGTTTGCTTATATGTAGGAGTTTGGATACTACACTTTCATAGCATAACTATGTCTTCATGCTTTAGGCAGGGTTTCCCAATCCTGACAATTCTGACAACTTGGGCTGGATCCTTCTTTGTTCAGGGGGTTCTCTTATCCATTCCCTCTCTTCTTGTTTTGGTAAGTCACTCACTTGAAGTCTCAGGGCTGCTCAAAAAAGCCTGCAGAGCATTCTCCATTTGTACGTGAGAAACTGTTCATAGTTCTGAGAGTACAGATAACTGAGTTCACATCCGGATAACTGTGTCCTTCCATTGGAGCAGCATCTCTGTCTCCTACAAAGTAGGTGTCATCCAAAATGTCTCCAGATGTTAACAGATGTCTCTTGGACAGAGGGAGCAAAATTATCCTTTCTTCAGTTATATACTCCTAGCCTTCCTTAAATCTAAAGTGGAAAGACAGCTGAACTGAAGAATGTCTAAGATGACCCCAAAATGTCTTGCCCTGGTAGACATATACTGACATGCCGAGCCTAATACAGCTGTTGCAATGAAGGTATTTTGTAGCAATTACTAAGGGCGCAGAGCAGTTGACATTACGATGGGGAGATTATCTAGGCAGGAATGGCTAAATCACTGGAGACCTTTAAATTTAGGTCTGAAGGTCAGAGACTCAAATCACAAGGTATTCAAAGATCTTGTGCTCATCACATTGCTTCGAACAAGGGGAGAACAAAGTCCTAGACAGCTTTGGAGAGCCTGAATTCCCAGAGAAGTTCTGTCTAACACTGGGCGATTCTGTGTACACGCTTTGTCCACCACCATCGGGCAGGCATGGTTATTGTTCCAGGTGAAGATGGCTACAGTCTGATTCTGAGGGTCCAAGCCTGTGGTGTCCTCTAGAATGTACAGTGAGTGATCAGCATTGGTTGGAAACAGTCAGTCTATCTAAAGAGACATACTGCTGGCCCTGCAGAAGTTTCCTACAGGGAAGGTTCAGGTCAGGGAGGGGTCATCTCCCATTGTGACACGTCTTCAGTCAAGACATGTTTGTTACAAGGCACAGAAATCCTGCTCCTGGGAACTTAGTTGGAAGTTGTTCCTGGGAAGGTTGGTCTAGGTAAAATGCTTCACCATGGTGCTGACCTCTGCAGAGCATTTGAAATGCAAAGCTGAGAGGGCTCACAGCTCATACCACCGTGCATCCAAGTCATTACCGCCACGAAAAAAGCATGCAGCCCTGCATACCTTTATGCCATCTGTTCTGTGTGTCCAAACTTCACTCTTTCTATAGAGACACCAGATACCAGCCATTCTGGGTTAGGACACAGCCCAATGACCTCATTTCCAAATAAAGTCACACCTTGAGGAACTGGGGATTAGAATTTCACCGTGAGAATTTGGGTGGGTGCAGAGACACAGTTCAGCCCCTCATTGGGAGGTTCAGGGAAGTGGGAACGGGGGGGGGGGGAGGAGGGATTTAACTGAAGTTCTTCACCAGCTGGTTGGACATAGCACTATCCTTCATATGCCACTGGCTAGTAATAAACATCATTCCACTTGAGAGGTAAGAGCAGCACACGTGTAAGCTTGTAGCTACCACTCTTTACTGTTGGAAGAATGAGTGACTGCTCAGGGAACATGCCATCTTAGGCACAATGCAGTCTCTTTTAGTTGTCATGAACAGAAAATTAACTACATCTTCCAAATAGCAGGAATTGCTCTTTCGTTTTGAATACCATGGAAAAGCCAGAAACGTTAGAAATGTTCTATTTGTCCTCAGAGTAACCCCCACAGTCATTTTCCTTTAGATGCTACGAAAGGGAAAAATCAAGGATAGAGGGACCAAACAATTTACCCAGTTGTAAAACAATTTACTTTTAGGTGGTAGAGCCTGGGATTTTGTCGGCATTAAACCCTGACCCATTTCTCTGTGGACCACCTACATCGTCGGTGGTTTCCAGTCATTCTGGTTAGAGACTCGAGAAAGTATCTCTTTAGAATCTCCTCATTCCTGCCAGGATGGTTACAGTATTTAAAAAAAAAAAAAAAAAAGTGGGACTTTTAAGACAAGCCTAGACTAGGGAAGCTGGAGAGATAGTTCAGGCCTTAAGGGCACTGGCTGCTTTTCCAGAGATTTGATTCCCAGGGTAGTTGACACCCTCTTCTGGCCTCTGTGGTCACCAAGCACACACAGGGTACACAGATATCCACACAGGCAAAATTACCATACATAAAATAGAAATAATGAAAAGTGACTAGGTAAATGCTATTCTAGAGGGTGTAGGTCCATTACCACAGGACTAGTTTCCTAATAACTGTGACTCTGACCTGATTTTTCTCTCTCACGTGTACTTGCTTTGCTGATTGATGCCCTCTGCGTTTTATAACAAGCTAGGGTGCTCTGACTGTCTCTCAGCACTATTTCTTGAACTGTTGAGCTGCTATGACCGTAAGAAGTAAATCATTCTTCTTCATAAATTGTTGCTTGTTTATTTGTGTGAAGTGGGGGGGGGCACATGAGCAAGTTTGCTTTTTGTTTGCACCACAGCACGTGGGGTCCAAGGACGACTCTGGAGGGTCAGGCCTCTCCTGCCGCCTTGTGGGACCCAGGGACTAAATTTAGGTTATTAGGCCTTGTGTATAAGCACCTCTACCCACAGAACAGTCTCACTGGTGAAGCTTTGACACAGTCTAAAAGCCCCTGTGAAGAATCCCAGTGAGAGTTATCTAGATTAGATTATTCTGTGGGCATGTATGTTGGGGGTTATCTTCTTTTTTAGACAGGATCATACTGTGTTGTCTTGGCTGACCGGGAATTCTCTATGTAGATCCTCCTGCCTGGGTTTAAAGATGTGCACCACCACGCCAGGCTAAGGGTGATATCTTGATTAAATTAGCTGAGGTGGTAAGACATGCCAACTGTGGGTGGTACCATTCCCTAGGCAGGAGGATCCTGAACTATGTCAGAGTAGAGAAAGTGAGCCCAGTAAGCATGGCCGCATTTGTTTAGCCTCTGCTCTTAACTGTGGTCAGGACTAGCTGCCCCAAGTTCCTACTGCCTTGATTTTCCCACAATAATGAATTACAGTATGAAACTGTGAGCCAAATACAACATATCTCCTTTAAATTGCTTTTGTCAGGGTATTTTATCATAGCAAGAGGAAATAAAACTAAAACATCAAGGCATCCTGTCTCAGATAGTACAGTAGGACAACTGAAAAGAAACTCAAACAATAGCTACACAACACACACACACACACACATCACGCACACTATCCTATGCACACACATCATATACATACATTCATACATACACACACACAAGACACACACATATCCTGTGCACACACATCATACACACACAATACACACACGTATCCTATGCACACACATCATATACATACATATATACATTCATACACACACACAAGACACACACATCACACACACACATATCCTATGCACACACATCATATACATACATATATACATACATTCATACATACACACATCATACACACACACAAGACACACATATCCTATGCACACACATCATACACACACAATACACATACGTATCCTGTGCACACACATCATACACACACAATACACACACACATCATGACCACACATACACACGATACACACAGACGTATACAATACACACACATACACAATACACATCATTACATACACATACATACACACATGCACAATACACACACATATCATACACAGACACAATGCACACACATACACACATAATACACACACACAGACATACACAGCACACACTCATACACACACACTTTTCCTTTTATGGAAATTGTTAATTTCCCCCTCTCCAAGAGTATTATTTTACTGCTACTCTAATTATAAAAAAAATTTCAATGTTTATTAGAAAATAAAACTTATAAATAAGATTTTTCTGAAATAATTTTAGTATTTTTTGTTCTTCAGCTGAGACAGCGGAAGGATTATTTATTGTGTACAGAAGTGAGAACTAGTCCAGAAACCCACAGGTCCAGGTCAGAGTGCCAACAGGGGCTGTTTGCATTGTAAGCATAGCAGTCCCGCAGAGGTACAGTTCCACACCCACTGAGACTTGTTACCAGCAGACGCACACGGTCCAATAGCTTGTACCAGCATCCCGGCTCCAGCATCCCTTGTTTCTGCTGCTTTGGCCTCTAGAGCTACACACGGGCCTCATTTGCCCTTCTCATGCACTTTAGTCTGGACATTGGCTTCTCCCACTTCGCTCTTGTGGTACAGGAGTTTCGAGGAAGACGGTGCCAACGCTGAAAACTGAACGTATTTTAATCTCAGAGACAGACAAAGCCATTTTCTTGGTGACCTGTCTCCCTCCTTTTCCTCCCTCTCTTCCTCTCTCCTTCTTCCCTGTTAGTTGTAAAACAAAAGTGCAGGGAACACAGACTTTGACATTCTCAAGTCCTTGTGAATAAAGGGAAATTTATTTACAAAGCATTGACTGGAAAAAATACAGAAATATGAGAATATGTATACCCTACATAGTGAGAGCAAGTCTTACTGATTACACAAGGTATTATTCAGATATCTAAATCCATGGGTCACAGGTAACGATTCTGAGGTTCTGGCTCTCTGTTAAGGACATGCTGGAGCAAGTCTTACATT